CCCGGGGCACCAGGTTGGAACCAGGCCTTTTTTTCAGCTGAACTCTGAGGTGCTAAGAGGTCATGCCCAACAAGGGGAACCCAGGAGGTCCTGACATTGTTCACTATTTTACTTTTGCCTGAATTGCTTCAGGACACCCTGTGAAAACTCAAAAACTCTCATGACTTACTCATAAACTGTGCAAAAATGACCAAATTGTGTACTCTTTCCAGCTTCTGTCCACCATCTGCACAATGGGGCCTGGTAACACCCACTTTCTACAGTTGTGAGGAGCGGGGACACAGTAGCACCGGCCCTGAGCAGAGACGCCCTCACTCACTTCTTTCTCCCTTTATTTCCTCACTCTATTATTGATCAGCTGTTTACATGTAAGGTACCTTGTGTGAGATATTAATCACACAGTAGTGCGACTTGATCTCTATCCTCTTGTAAAGACAAGAATTCACCAAAATAAATGCAAATGTATGACTGTGACAAAAGCTAATTTTGAAAATTAAAATTGGAGTACTGAAAATTTAAAGTGCAATTGAGGAAGTCAAAGGTAGATGTTAGAAACCCTCCCGGAACGTAGAGAAGAAAAAGAGATTAAAAAAAAAAAAAAAAACAGCTGAAACCAATGGAAGATAAATTTAGACAATCCAACAATCCAAATCCATTTAGTAGTAGAAATTCAAACAAACTAATAATAATAAAGGAAATAAAGAGGGGAAAATTAATAAAGAAAGAAGAAAGTTCTGAGAGGTGAACAGTTTTCAGGTTGTGTGGGGGCACTCATGTCAAGCAGTAAGAATGAAAAAAACCTAAACTCATCAAACTCCAGAAAACCAACAGAAAGAGAAGACCGTAGCGCTGTTTAGAGAGAAAACCCGTGCTTCTGAGCTTCCCGGGGGAACCAGGATCAGACTGCAGACTGGCCTGGCGATGGAGTGGAGCCGTTCATAAACCTGAACACTATACATGCATAGCGTAGGATAAAATAGCCTCAAGGCCTTTGCAGTCTTGGGAGAGATGATTATCCCCTTAGTGAAATAGACATTTCCAACATGCAGGGCCTCGGAACCCTTGCCTCGAGGTCCCCATTCTGAAAAATGCCTGGGGCTCTGTGTCTACAAACTGGAGAAGAAATCCAAGAATGAATGGTGTAGGACACTCAAACCATGGGATTCATAAGGAACCCAAAATAAACAACCCCCTGCCCTCAGGTCACATGGAGTGCTGTAGCCGGAGGGTGGGGCAGTGGGGAGGGGTGCCGGCACAGCCCCTACACACCACACCCACCCTGTGGTCCCGCTGAGATGGGACCTGCCCAGCCCAGGGCGGGGCGCCCGGCACTCAGGCCAGTTCTGGAGATGGCCACTTACGAATGCTTGGTTTTCAAAATCAAATACACAGAAACAAAATAGGTCGGATAACTTGCTTGCCTAAAATAGATGTCCAGAGGAAATTTCTGCCTCTGACTTTAAATATTTTTTTAAAAAAGAACTAGGAGCCACAAAAGGGGGATTTTGGTAGGTTCTCAACCCCCCTGCCCTGGGACAGAACTCTGTGCACCAGTGGTGGCCGCAGAGGCTTGGAGAATGGACTCGAACCCCCGCCCTGGGACAGGACTCCGTGCACCAGTGGTGGCCGCAGAGGCTTGGAGAATGGACTCGAACCCCCGCCCTGGGACAGGACTCCGTGCACCAGTGGTGGCCGCAGAGGCTTGGAGAATGGACTCGAACCCCCGCCCGGGACAGGACTCCGTGCACCAGTGGTGGCCGCAGAGGCTTGGAGTGTGGACTCGAACCCCCGCCCCGGGACAGGACTCCGTGCACCAGTGGTGGCCGCAGAGGCTTGGAGTGTGGACTCGAACCCCCGCCCCGGGACAGGACTCCGTGCACCAGTGGTGGCCGCAGAGGCTTGGAGTGTGGACTCGAACCCCCGCCCCGGGACAGGACTCCGTGCACCAGTGGTGGCCGCAGAGGCTTGGAGTGTGGACTCGAACCCCCGCCCCGGGACAGGACTCCGTGCACCAGTGGTGGCCGCAGAGGCTTGGAGTGTGGACTCGAACCCCCGCCCCGGGACAGGACTCCGTGCACCAGTGGTGGCCGCAGAGGCTTGGAGTGTGGACTCGAACCCCCGCCCTGGGACAGGACTCCGTGCACCAGTGGTGGCCGCAGAGGCTGGGGGGACAGACTCGCTGCCCTGCTCCTGCCCAGCGAGGGGAGCTTGGGTTTTGTGCAGTCCTTTGTTCTGGAGTCATGTGCAGCCACCTTCTGATGAGAATAACGTGGACGGATTTCAGGCAGGGAACTTCTTCCATCTCATCATTATTCCTTGTTCTGTTGGCTCTTCAAGGAGCATTGTCTAGCATAAGGTTATTGTTCATAAAATCCCACAAATGAGCGTGCTTTGTATGACAACTTTAATAAAACCTCACACCCATTTCAATTTATACTATGAATATGAATTGTAGCATAGTTTGCTTGTCATTCATTAATAACTTTAATTTTTAGATATGAGCTAGTCATATGTATGTTTCTTGATATTATTACCAATATTCCAGTGACATTAGCTGATTGCAAAATGCTTTTTAAAATAACTATAGCTTTATAAAATAATTTACTAAAAAAAAAAACACTCCACATATGACACAGCATGAAAACTGAGCATGTTGCCAATGTATTAACTCATTTTAATTTTTTTCTTTTAATAGATTTTTCTCATTTATTGACCCCAAAGGTGGTAAATTTAAAGATGGCCATGGAATTTCCTTTTTACCCAAAAATACATTTTTATATTTTTAAATTTTCTGTTCTTTCATACTTTCTATTTGTCTTTACACCCAAAGTAAATTATTTTTCTACATATTTAAGATTGCAACTATGTCCATTCCAGCTTCTGTCTATTCTTTCTCTCCACCTTCCATTGAGTTTATGTAGCGATGTCTTACCCATCTGTTTTCTACTGCGTTAGCCGTGTGTAGCAGAGTCCCAGAGACTCAGCCCTCAGTCGGGTGGGCAGACTCACTGGTCACACTCCCATTTTGGGAGCCAGAGTTTTCTGTATGTAACCTTTGCTGCTTGTCTAGATCATCACAGTTAGAAATTAGAAACTGAAAATGCATACTAATAAATCGGTATCTAGTGATATTAATATCACTGCCCATTATCATTTATTGAGCATTTAATGATAAGCCAGACATTTTTGATATATTATTTAATTCAGACATTGAAAGTCTAGGAAATTAATGCTTATACAACAACATGCTCAAATCATGAAGTAGTAAGTGGTAGTGCTTTTATAACCCCATTCTGTCTAATTGAAAATTGTTTAACCATTAAAGGTTTTGCTTGTTGGCTGAGTCACATGTACAGCGTTGTCTGAGCAGTTAGAATCCATCTTCACAGGGCAATGCAAACATTTTCTTTCTCTTTTTCTTTCGTTTTCTTTTTTGTTTTTCCAGTGAATCCATATTAACCACTAGGAGCAGGCACATAAGATCCAAAGGCGGGTAGGAATTGTGTGGGCCCTGGGGTCTCGCATAACAGAGGATTCTGTAAGATAGTTCAGAGTTCATGGTAATGTGTAGGGGAGTTATTATATCCAAAGGGGTAAGAGAAGTTCTTTTGTTTTAAACTACAATGTAGTAGACAAAAAAGATCAATTTGGTCTAATTCCTTTCTCTTTCAAGGGACTAATCAGGACTTTTAACCTTCTGAGGTTCATATCCACCATTGTGTTCTTGACAAGATATACATGCTCCATCCCTTATTAACTGTTTGTGTGGATGAAGTTGTTCTTTGGGGAAAATTAAGTACACAGGGAAGGGTTTGGGGCTCAGTCCCTAATGGTCAGCAGAAGTGGATGAGGCGGGCTAGTTTCCAGGTCGAAGGAAAAGATTGGCGAATTCTGGGGAAAATGGCCCTATTATGACTCCCTGTGTTTCTTATTTAACTCCACTGTCTGGTTTCCTGTTGCTCAAATGAGGAATTGCATAGAAAGTGGGACGGCACTTCCATGATGGTTATCTGCATTAAGCTGCATCATTGCAGGGGCTCAGGGCTGTCGGCTCACTTGACCTGTTGAGGTTCAAAACAGCCCAGAGAGTTTTAGTCCTGTCAACCCTGGAGAGCAGGAAGCACTGAATCCTTTGGAATGGAAATCATAAGGGGCCAGCTATCCAGTGCCACCACCCAAGGCTCCCCTAGGACCTAGTGGCGAGACTCAGATTCCCTGACCCGTATCTCAGCGCTGCGGGTCCTTCCTGAGCATGTGTAGGGACAGCCTTCATTCACGGTGGGAAGAACTGTACTAGATCTTAACACAGATAATTCAGTTTCAATTATTCTCTCCTTCTGACTAACTGGGGAGTTCTGAGCACGGATTTCACCCTCTCTGAGTATCAGTTTCTTTATTCGTAAAATTCACATAAAGTTCAATTGATGGCCAAATGACATAACGGGTAAGAAAGTGTTTTGTAAGGTTTTAAGTTCTACCAATTTTAAGGAGACTAGGCTGATCCTCTCACCCCAGAAGTCCCTGGAGACATCACAGAATGAATAAGGGTGACAGTGGGAATCCTGGTGTGGAGCTCCTCCGATGCTGCCGCACGGGCTGAGCCTACCCCGAGTCTGGGCAGGAGGGAGGACATGGCTGCGCGCGGGGCTTCTGGTCCACAGGAACTGGGAGCTCATGGAACTGTCTCAGGCAGAGCACAGAGCACAGAGCACAGAGCGCAGAGCTGACGTAGCTGGCAGGGAACAAACCTTCCCAGCCGGGGCTTGCTCCCACAGGAGCCTGGGCAAGGGTCACAGTCCAAACAGCAGGCGTCAAATCTAGGAGAATAAATTGTAAAGGGGAATGCGTTGTTCACGGACATGAAAGAGAACTTTTGTTTCCTGGAGGAAGCTGACGTGTGCGTGTTGACAGTTGCAAAGAGGACGACGCCCTGTGTATGTCTCTTCCTAAGGTGGTGATGAATTCATGAGGTGCTGCATGTTGCTTTTCATATTTTGCAGATGGAGAAATCAAGGCACAGAGAGATTAAGTGACTTTGCCATAGTCACAAGCTGGAGAGGACCAGGAGTAGAGCTTAGAGCGAGCCCCTGACTCTGGGCCTGCGTCCTGCCAGGAGTCACGCTGCCTCCATTCCTAGGAGAGAAGACTTCCTGTAAGGTAAAGGCGGCCGTCTACACTGGGTTCTGTGCAGCCCGCACTGAGGCAGGGCGGCCCGTCTACACTCGGTTCTGTGTAGCCCGCACTGAGGCAGGGCGGCCCTCACTCACTAGGTAAAGGCGGCCGTCTACACTGGGTTCTGTGCAGCCCACACTGAGGCAGGGCGGCCCGTCTACACTCGGTTCTGTGCAGCCCACACCGAGGCAGGGCGGCCCTCACTCACTAGGTGAAGACGGCCGTCTACACTGGGTTCTGTGCAGCCTGCACTGAGGCAGGGCGGCCCTCACTCACTAGGTAAAGGCGGCCCGTCTACACTGGGTTCTGTGCAGCCCACACTGAGGCAGGGCGGCCCTCACTCACTAGGTAAAGGCGGCCGTCTACACTCGGTTCTGTGCAGCCCACACCGAGGCAGGGCGGCCCTCACTCACTAGGTGAAGACGGCCGTCTACACTGGGTTCTGTGCAGCCTGCACTGAGGCAGGGCGGCCCTCACTCACTAGGTAAAGGCGGCCGTCTACACTGGGTTCTGTGCAGCCCACACTGAGGCAGGGCGGCCCTCACTCACTAGGTAAAGGCGGCCCGTCTACACTCGGTTCTGTGCAGCCCACACTGAGGCAGGGCGGCCCTCACTCACTAGGTAAAGGCGGCCTGTCTACACTCGGTTCTGTGCAGCCCACACTGAGGCAGGATGGCCCCCACTGTAGACGGTTAGGTTGTGTGCTCTCTGCGTGTGTGAAAAGAGTTAAATAAACAGCAGCACTCACATCTCCTAGCCTGGGTTTGCTAGCCTGTTCCAGACCACATTGTCCACAAACCACTTCCTTATGTGGTCAAAACAATCAGCCTGCACACCGCTTCCTCCACCTCGGCCTCTCCGGCCCTTCCCTCTTCCACTTTCCATCCTCAGAAGGTATCTTGGCTTTTTCTTCTAAACCATTCCTTCAGATTTCCCCCTCTCCTCTTTTATGTCCGTCACTTCTTCTTTTCTGATGGCTGGATTGACCCCATCTTGGATTCTAAGAAACAAAGAGAGCAGCTTCCGTCCTCCCTCTTGTAGCTGTCACTTGCCTCTGTCCCCTGGGGCGGTCCTGGGCAAAGCACTGCCCACCTCCCTGGCACCTGCCCAGTGCAGCGGCTCTGAGAATCCTACCGCATTCTCCTGGGACTCCCCTTGAGAAAGGAGCACCAAGCCCAGGCAGTGTTGGCTGGGACGGGGATTTCGGCCTCAGCTGGTCCCACGCCCATCACCCGGGGACAAAGCCTCTGTGGTCCGACCCCACACGGGATGGCCTCGCTCACGCTCAGCCACTACCCAGCAGTGGTCAGCGAGAGACCACCCGCTCGCTTCCTTCGGTCCTCCCCCTACAGCGGCTGTGCTGACAACATAATACTCCTTCCTCTTCTCTTCCACCCTTTCTAGAACTTCCTCTTTCCTTCTGCAACAGGCAGGGTTTTTTAAGGGTTTTCTCCTATTATTTAGAATGCTCTTGTTGATGCTTTTTTTTTTTTCTATTCCTGCTCCTTGATTGGAGGGCAGTGTGATATTAGTGGTGCGTTTCTCTCATGGAGAAGGGCACTCCCGGAAAGAGAGCTCAGTGAGGACGACAGTCTGGTGAACTCACAGCTACCGCACCAGGCACATGGCAGCACCCCCTTATGCGTGTGGAGCCCTGTGCATTTTCCGGGTTCTTCCACACGTGCTAGAATGTTCACATCCACCGACTGTCACGTGAACACACGGGAAAGACATTCCTGTGACATAGTTCGTGCAGATGATAAAATTGAGGCCTGAAAGTTAAAGAGACACAGTAAGTAGGAAAAAACAAAAACAAAACTATTCCAAGCCCATGCCCTGTCTCTAAACTTCATGTTTCCCATTTAATAATCTTCAGAGCATTTTCATTTCTATCACTTTTCTGTGGAACAACATATTTCCACCCCCGTGAATATTTAACGTATGTCACAGAGTCCACATTCTATCACTCGTAGACACAGGATTCTCTAAGTTTTCTGTTCTTTATTCTTTTAGTATTTTCCTCCCCCTAAAAAATAAGTAGAGTAATTTTAAAAAATGGATTAAAAAGAATTTGGAAACTGGAAAAATCTTTAAGATAATTTCAAATACCTGCAAAAATGGGAAGTTCTAGTTATATTTTTCTATGGCAAAACATATTTGAATTTTTGATTTTAAATTTTTTTACCACATCTCTAAAACCTGAATTTGGGAGAAGTAGAGACAGAAAATGCTGGATATAAACCAGATGGAGTCTGGGAAGCAGGCCTATAGGTCAGCAGTACAGAAAACTGTCTGTTACTTATTAAAAGCAGCTCTTTCGTTACATTTGTGTTTTGTAGCTATCGAAAAGAGATAGCTTGTTTCTTCACTTGCACTGTAACCACACATCGTCTGGGACAGGCATTCATTAGGGAGGGACCGGACACCTCTGAACATCACCAGGAGGCAGCACGGCCTGCCGGGATGGGGAGGAAGCCAGATGCCCCTAGGAGGACTCGCTGGGAGGAGGGAGCAGGGCATGAGACCAGGGCTGAGCGTGGTGAGGGCATGGGAAGGAACGGGCCCATGGGGGGATGCGGCCACTCCCCCCAAAATGCAAGCCTCAGTGAGAAAGTCACAGACAGGCCATGGAGACTGGGATTCTTTTCAAATGACTGAATTACCGAAAACGTTTATGTATACGTGGGAAAAAATACCATCAGCAAAACGGAATCAACAATAAGCTGGAAGAAAATACTGGCAACAGATAAGGTGGGCGAAGGCATTAGCACCGCAATGTACAGAGAGCTATTACGAATCGATGTGAAAAACATGAAAAGAAAGAAGAAAAACAGGGAAAGGATATGAATCACAATTTCACAGAAGAGGAGATGCAGACGGGGAAGGCGTGAGAGAATGCTTAGCCTCCCTGGGGGCCAGGGAAATGACAAGACACATGGCTTTACTCAACCAAAGCCAAGGATGGAATAAAATTTAAGGTGACCAGTGCTTCCAGAAGCCCCGTGATCACACATTACTAAAAAGGGTATGGATTCTTTTTTTTTTTTTTTTTTTTTTTGAGACAGAGTCTCGCACTGTTGCCCAGGCTGGAGTGCAGTGGCGTGATCTCGGCTCACTGCAAGCTTTGCCTCCTAAGTTGACTCCATTCTCCTGCCTCAGCCTCCTGAGTAGCTGGGACTACAGGTGCCCACCACCATGCCCGGCTAATTTTTTGTGTTTTTAGTAGAGTCAGGGTTTCACCGTGTTAACCAGGATGGTCTCGATTTCCTGACCTCGTGATCTGCCCGCCTCAGCCTCCCAAAGTGCTGGGATTACAGGCGTAAGCCACCTCACCCGGCCAGAATGTTTTCTTTTTTAATGGTAAAGTGACAATATCTTTTTAGAAAACTCTATAAATATGTACAAAATACCTGTAATCATGTTTGTAAATTATTTTTGTAGTGAAATAAAACAACATAAGCCTTGTTAGTAAAGGAACTTAGGGGACTGGCTGGATAAATTATAGTAAGTGTATTTTGAGGAATACTATGCAGCCATTCAAAAAGATGAGTTCAAAGGATAGACGTTAGCCTAGAGAGATGGCTGTGATTTTTTTGTAAGTGAAAGATAGCAAGTTACAAAAAAGTTTTGTGAACAGAGCCTGATTTTGTAAATAATAAATACACAGAGAGCCTGCTCTGTTTATTCATTCCATTGTGGAGTGGAGTGAAGGTTGGTTTCCTCCAGTAAGGAAATTGGCTGTGGGAAGAGAGACAGCAGCGGCTGCCCAGTCCCCACCTGGTGGACCTCTGTGTGCCTGTTTGTACTTCAACCGATGATATAACTGCCCAAGGGGTTCACTTTGCCTGCTGCCCAGACAGAGCTGATTCACCAAGACAGGGGAATTGCAATAGAGAAAGAGTAATTCACTCAGGGCGTCTCTGCGGGAGGCTGGAGTTTTATTATTACTCCCATCAGTCTCCCTGAGCATTGGAGGAGCAGAGTTTTTTTTTTTTTTTTTTTTTTTTTTTTTTTTTTTTTTTTTGAGACAGAGTCTTGCTCTGTCGCCCAGGCTGGGGTGCAGTGGCCGGACCTCAGTTCACTGCAAGCTCCGCCTCCCGGGTTTAGACCATTCTCCTGCCTCAGCCTCCCGAGTAGCTGGGACTACAGGCGCCCACCACCTCGCCCGGCTAGTTTTTTGTATTTTTTAGTAGAGACGGGGTTTCACCGTGTTAGTCAGGATGGTCTCGCTCTCCTGACCTCGTGATCCGCCCGTCTCGGCCTCCCAAAGTGCTGGGATTACAGGCTTGAGCCACCGCACCCGGCCTGGAGGAGCAGAGTTTTTAAGGATAACTTGGTTGGTAGGGGAAGCCAGTGACCCAGGAGTGCTGATTGGTCAGCGATGAGATCAGAGGGAGGCGGAGCTGTCTTCTTGAGCTCAGTCAGTTCCTGGGTGGGGCCATAAGAACAGATGGGCTAGTTTATTGATCTGGGTGGAGCCAGCTGATCCACCCAGTGCGGGGTCTGCAAGACATCCCAAGCACTGATCTTAGGAGCAGTTTAGGGAGGGTCAGAATCTTGTAGCCTCCAGCTGCATGACTCCTAAACCATAATTTTTAATCTATGGCTGCTGTTAGTTCTACAAGGGCAGTGTAGTCCCCAGGCAAGAAGGAGGTCAGCTTTGGGAAAGGGCTGTTACCTTCTTTGTTTAAACTAAGTTTCTCCCAAAGTTAATTCAGCCTGTGCCCAGGAATGAACAAGGACAGCTTGGATGTTAGAAGCAAGGTGGAGTGGGTTAAGTCAGATCTCTTTCACTGTCTTAGTCAAAATTTTGCAAAGGCAGGTAAGGAAAAGGAGGCATTATTGCTAGACTTGAGGTAATCAGCAGAGAACCACTCTGGGTTCTTAAGCCCGAGAATTCCTGGACGGATGGCATCACAGCGGGGGCAGTCGGGGATGGACAGGAAGGCGGAGGAGGGGACACCTGGGAACTCCAGCAATGCTCC